TTTTATGCTCATTCTTTAAATATTTTGGAAAAAAATAAAGCTTAATTTAGAGACAAAACAGTTAGGGTTTACACATCCACATGAATTTATTAATCATACTTTCTAGGGCTGTGTGCAAAATGTGTCATCACAGTCAATATTACATAATAAAGTAGTAATATAGCTCGACAGATCGTTGAAAAGCAAATATATCAAAATGAATTATTACAGGATTGAAAGTCTTAAGATAGTTCTCGTTAGCATGATTAATTTATTAAGTGAAATTTAAAGTCGGATTTAGACTTTTAAGTTTTATTTATTCTGTATACGTGCAACAAAAACACATTTTTTAAACCAGTGAATTTTGAATTTAGTAGTTGATGTTATCAACTGACTTCTTGTGACTTCTTTTTTTCTTGTGACTTCTTTTGACGTCTGGAATAAAAATTTTGTATTGTGAATAGATATCTCCTATAAATTGCAATTTAGTATTAAGCTATATATGATCGTTTTCTTTAATAAATATGTGAATCAAATTCAGAAAAAGATGGCGATGGAGTCAGTTTGCGGTTGAAGCACTGGCGGCGGGAGAATCTCTTCTGTTTTCCAATGTTCGGGCCAGAATTACATCACAGTTTATACCAGTATGTTTGTATCTTGCATGATTTTGTAGATTTTCTGATCTTATGTTGCTTTTTCTGGCGTTACGTTAATTTTCTCTTCTATCTTTAACAAAATTTGCATGCAAAAATTTTCGAATATGTTTACTTAAATCAAAGTACCTTTTATGTTTGAGTTGTTGTTCGGATATTCTATTTTTTCTTTTTTCATGTCTGGTAATTATCTTTACTAATATTTGATTTCTTATATTTATCACTTTCCCATTTTTCAGGTAGATATGGGTGAGATATATACAGTGACCGCTGAGACTCCTACATCTTCATATGCTCGAATTCCAGCGGTACTTATTCATGGATTTGCTGGTGGTGTAGCCTTATGGGCTGCTAATATTGATGATATGGCGAAAAAACGGTTGCTTCATTGCTTCGATTTATTAGGTTGCCTTACTAATTATACAGTTTTATTAAAAAAACATTCGACATTTCATATTTGCAACATCATTATAGCTTCAGGAAGATGAACCAAATTCGTGTCGTTTTAATATCCTGAATGTTTTTTAATTTCTAGGTTTTGGGCGTTCATCGCGTCCTGCATTTGCCAAGGACCCAACATTAGCTGAACTGCAATTTGTTCAGTCAATCGAAAATTGGAGAAAAGGAATGGGAATTAACAAAATGATTTTAGTTGGCCATTCCTTCGGTTAGAATTTATTCATGTTATTTTGGAATGATGGTTTGAAATCTTAAAATTGTTTCACCTTTTACTTTCAGAAGTTAATCTGACTGTATTTCTAAGAGAATTTCTGTAAATGCTACAATGGGTGCCAGTCCTTGAATATCAATAGTTTAATGGCCCAAAGAAGTCTTTCTTTTACCTGTTCTATCCTAAATTTCCACTTTTCTTGACTTCAATGGATTACTATGGCAGTAATTTGGAAGTTTTTCAAGATGCTAATTTACAGGTGCGTTTCTGGCGGCGTCTTTTGCGCTAGAACATCCTGAACGCGTGAGACATTTAGTTCTGGTTGATCCATGGGGATTTCCGGAGAAACCTGTGGAGATTGCGCAACAAGTAAATTTTTATTTCATGTTTTTCATATATGCCATACAATACTCATGTAATACTAGCATTCTGCTATTAAATCATAAAAAATATCTCAAAAAAATACTTTGATTTATTATATAATAGAGTTTCAGCAAAATTATCCATTTTGGATTAGAGTTGTTGCACGGGCGATGTCGCTTTTTTATCCTTTGACAGCTTTACGCTGGGCAGGGCCATATGGTAAGTTTTGTTTTTATCGTTACACTTTGAATTTCAACAGAAATCAAAGTTTCAAAAATCAAAGAGCGAAAAATTGCATTGCAGGTGTTTCGATGATTAAAACCTTTCGACCTGATTTAAGTCTTCGTTTTCCTTGTGTTGATCCGAACGCTATTTATGAATACTTCTATCAGTGCAATGCCCAAAACCCTTCCGGAGAAGTTGCCTTCACTAATATGAGTTTTTCGTTCGGTTGGGCTAAAAGACCAATGCTTAAAAGGTTAGTGTAGATTATAGATCATTATAGATTTTGTTATAAATTTTGTTATAATCATTTTGAGTGATTTTATATAATTCAAATTATTGACCTTTCTGCTTGCTTTTTCAGTAATCTATTTGTTTGTGCTATTAACTATTAATTAAACCTAATTTTTTAGAGCATGAATGTATTTGCTGAAGATGTTACCACTGAAATAGTAATAATCTATTGTTGCCTTTTCTAGAATAATCGATCTATCACCTGACGTGCCGTTGACATTCATTTATGGGAGTAGAAGTTGGATTGATTCATCTTCGGGTATTGAAGTGCAAAATGAGAGGCAAAATGCTTATGTTAACGTTCAGGTTTGATAAAATTTTCAAAACTTACGAAAGCACTTTTTTAATTCCTGGAGGATTTTTTCCACAACCACTCGGGATTTTCCTTTAAGATACATGCCTATTTCATATGTCATCTATAGGATAGTGATACTTTTCAATCCTGATATTCTACCTGTTATTTATTTGTTTACTTTTATTTTTTAAATTTTAGATCAAAAATCCTGGTTGCAATTTAAATTTTTTTGAATTCCTAATAGAACTTACATGAAAGAATATTATATATTGTGCGTTGAAGGTTATAAACGGTGCTGGTCATCACGTTTTCGTTGATCAGAAGGAGGTTTTTAACAACATAATGTCTGACTTATTTGACAAAATTGATGCTGATGAAGATGTCTTCCTCAGAAAAGATGCAGGAAAGAAAAGCGAATCAAAATGAAATCATCATCAAGGCATGCGGAAGTCTTTAAATCCACTATATAAATAAGTAACTCCTTTATCGGTACGCCGATTAAACTGCATTTTGCTAGAGCCATGTTATACCAAAAAAAAGGTTTATTAATTTGTTTGCTTAGGTTAGATTATTAGTTATAGAACGTAGTTCTAATAGTACCTGATTTGTAGATATTAAATTACTGGTGTATTTGTATTATAGATGTATTTTATCCATATTCTGTTTCTGATATCAAATCTAATTAATCATCCCATTCACTGTACTCTTTGTTCAAATTGTTTTGCAGTATTTCAATAGTTTCACTTTTGAGGGCATCAATTCATTGTCCTATTTATTACGGTTTGCTATTTCTCATTTTGCTTTGGACTTAATTCCTTTGATTTTCCAATTCTTGTAACATTTTACTGCATTGTTTTTGAACTAATAAAATTCGATTTTTTTCTATGTATTCATTCAAAGTGAAAAAAGATTTGGCTATATTGTGAATTTAACGGATTGCTGCTGTGGTGTTGCAAGACAGGAATTGAGCTATTTCGAAATTGCTCATTTTGATTTATCACCCTAAAACTATTTGTCATCATTTACAGTGTTTTGAGGAGATTTTGCCTCAATTGATAAGGTTGTTCAAGTTGAACGAAGTATGACAGATTAGTTTTCCGGAATGATGCAAAAAGACGGGTGCCGCCTGAAAAATTATGTTGTTGAAATGAAATAATAGTAATTCGATGATGATTGAGATTCGAAGCATAGTTGAAATTGAATTTTCCATGAAATATTTTTCCAAAAAAATCAACTCAATTTGAGCAATTTTCTTTCTTAGATTATTGTAACTTCAAAACATTATTTATATGATTCCCAAAACGAAATTTATATGATATAATATAATCTAAAATGAAAGGTTAATTACTCTTTCCTTCTTTTAAATTAGAAATTATATTGAAGACAGAGAAGATGAAGTGAATCCCCTGACAAAAATGACAGATGTAAGCTGAACAAAGGAATATACAAAATTGGTTAATGATTCAATAATTCATTTCGTGAAGGTATGTATAGGTATAATATCATTTCAAATTATAGTAATGGAATTATATATGAGATGAGAATAAATGTTTTGTCCGTGTGACCTTTGACATACGCTGTAATGACATAATGTTGTACTATTCCCGAGACAATTATTTCAAACTATCGGATACATTTTGAATAAACATATCTATTAATTGAAAGAATGCTCAGTATGAGGCAGGTAATGTCAGGTGATATCCATCAAAACAAATTAATTAATCATCAAATTTTCAATCTTTTTTTATACATATAAATAATTTTTTTTTTTCAAGAAACGTAAATATTAAAATTTTTTGATAAATTTAAAAATGAATTTATTGCGATTATTTATTTGAAACAGTTTTAATAATATTTCACTTTTGGTATATAATATTATAATTTTATTGTTTCTCAAAATTAGAAATAATTAAAAACGAATTTTTTCAAATTCGAAATATTCTTTTAGCACAGAATGTAATATTATATATATTTTATTGTTTCTCAAAATTAGAAATAATTAAAATCGAATTTTTTCAAATTCGAAATATTCTTTTAGCACAATTATTCGTGAATTGAAATTTCAACTTTTTTCATTTTCTTAATTATATTTTTTCTAAAAAAATAAAAAGCAATTAATTGATGTTTATCTTTTCAATATATCGCTATGAATATTTTTTGTCAATTAATTATTATGATCTTTTGTTTCTCTTTAAAAAGAGAACTTTTGAAAATAATACGGTAAAGAAGAATTTTAGAGATACGAGAAAATTCCGCTAATTTTAAATCGAAATTTATGCCTTAATCTATGCTACAATAACATTAATTAGTGCTATGATTAATCAACGAAAAACAAACTTTCTTAGTTATCACATATTAATGAGTTAGTAAAATTAAATGAAATTTTGAAGTGAAAAAAAAAGAGAATTTAAAATAATTTTATAATTAATAAATATTAAATTATTAATTGAATGGAAAAAGAATTAAGTAATTAAGAAGAAATAGTAATTAGCCAATTTAATTAATCAAACTTACCTTTCATTTATATTAATTTTTTTGAATAATTTTTGAAAGATTTTTTCTTTTCAAATTTTCCATTCAAATTCAAAAACAAAGAAATCATAAATAATTTGAAAATTCTTTTACTATAATAATAATAATAATAATAAATTATTGACAGCATATTGTTTTAATTATGAATTAATTTTAATATAAAATTAAATGTTAAGCTTAAAATAATAAATTCTAAATGCAAAACTTTTAATTTGGAAAATTTTCAAATTAATTTTTGAAATTTTATAATTAATCAAAATATAGGATAAAAAGGTAACTTGAATGATTAATTTAAATTTTTATTGTTAATTATTAAAATAATAATAACCTTTTTATGAATTAAATCTTTTATAATTAACATATTAATGACAGCTATTGTTTTAAGGCTTTCTTTTATCAAATAAATCCTTTTTCTCTCTTCCATTTAAATTTCTTCCTTACATTCATTAATACCTTAAACATTCATTCATTTAATATTATTTCAAAACAATGCATAATTTTCTTTTTTAAAAGAAATTTTTGAAAATTACCATTTGATCAAATTTTTCGTTAATTCTGCAAAAATTATGATATTTGAATTCTTTTGTTTTAATATTTAGCATTTGTATTGTTTTTTGTTAATTTGATCGATTCATTCTTTCATTCAAATGAATGTTATTCATCCAATAATAAACAAATAATCGTCGAATAAATCTATTGTTTTTACAAACAATTGTTTTATGACGATAAATGAATTCGGCAAAGTAAAAACAAAAACTTTTCATTTTCATTTAAATGTCAAAAATTTGATGAATAAGAATTTCATTTCACGCCGATATTTAATATTTGCTATTCCTGAAATGCTTGAAATGAATATTTTCATTTTTGAAATTAACATTAGAGATAATATTCAATCATTGTTGTTTTCTATTTACTAAAGTTATTCATTTTCATAAAACAAAACCAATGGAAGAGAGGGAGAGACAGAGAGAGAGGGAAAGAGAAAGAGAGAGAGAGAGGAAAGTTAGGAATGAAAAAAATTTTGTTCCAGAAAATTCAAAATAACAAAATATATATTTATTGAATTTTATATGAGCTAAATTACAATTGACTTAATTAACTAAATAAACTAAGCTTATTACAGGGAAGGAAAAAAAAACGAGAGAAATAGTACATATTTACATATTCGATAAAAATGAATTTTTAAAAAATATTGCCATCTATTATTGGTTTACTCTTAAAAAAGAAGAAAAAGTTAAATGACCTTTCATGACCTTTTCTTTCAGTGATATTTATTTAATTCATCAATTTATTCGACAATAAATTAGCTGTAAAAATGAATCTTTTAAGCAATAGTTTTGCAATAATGTTGAATGTGATAGCTTACTCAATTCTTATTTTCCATTCAATCAATTTCTCATATAAATTTAATAATTTCATATAAACGAATTATTTATAAGTCAATGATAAGACAATATAATTTTAATAAAAAAAATTTTCTTCTTTGTTTTTTTTTCATTAAAAAAAGTTAAAATTTAATTTTATAATAATTTAATAAATGACTAACTATCTTTGCTAATTTGAATAATATGAGAAATTTGAAAATTCATTATTTCTTCGATAATTAAAATTTGAAAAGTTAGTGGGCGGAGTTGAACCATTCAAAAAGAATTATTGAAATTTAAGCTTTAAAAGAGAAATCGCTTCTTCATTTCTCTCTCTTTTATCATTTATTATTTAATACCAATAAATGTTTTAGCATATTTTTTAGGATTTTACAAAATCGAATTTTGTGGCTTAAAAAATTTTCACACTTTTTAACTATTAGTTAGTTAAGCAATTAATATTTATATGTAATAATTTTAACTTTAAATTAAATTAAATTATTTAATTGATCATAAAATTAATACAGAAAGAAAGAAATTTCTCGTCTTTTTGTTTCTCTTTCTCTCTTTCTCCCTCTCTCTCTCTCTCTTCCTCTCTCTCTCTTCTTTGCTCTTAAAGAAATTAGACAAAGATTTGTTAAATGAATTAATTAAATTGTCTAAAATTTCTTTTATTTTATGATAAATCTGTAATTAATTTTCATCGATCATTCCTTTCGTATAAGAATTTTCTTTGTTAAAATTTTCAATGATATTATATAATTTTAAATTTACCGTAGAAACAGTGTAGGAATTTGCAACATTCAACGCTTTAATATCATTTTAATTATTAGAATTTTAGGGGCGTTTTAAATAACTATTAATTAAGTTTTGATATATATACATATTTTGTTTTCTCTTTTATTTTCTTAATTATTTGCCTTTTTGTTTAACTATCAAAGAATCATCTTGAAATTTCAAATTTCTGATTCTAAATTGTCATTCCTAATAATACATTTCAAAATAGATTCTAAATTATTGATTCTAACAATACGTTTAAAAACAAATTCTAAATTGTTGATTCTAACAATGCGTTTCAAAACAGATTCTAAATTGTTGATTCTAACAATACGTTTCAAAACAGATTCTAAATTGTTGATTCTAACAATACGTTTCAAAACAGATTCTAAATTGTTGATTCTAACAATACGTTTCAAAACAGATTCTAAATTGTTGACTCCAACTTGAAAACTCGATAACCATTCAAACGATGGATTTTATATTGGAATTATAATCAAAAAGTTAATGATAGTCTTCGTTTTTCTTTTTTTTAATTAAGTAAACATTTCATCTGTTGTATACCTGTAATTAAAAAAGAGCTTTATGGGATAGAATAATTAAATTAAAATATAATTATATTTAATGTGTTATCATTTCGGGGATGCGATTATCATTATATAATTTTATAGTTTATATGAATGCATATATATCGATAATTAATTTGAATTGTTATTATTTTCATTTGTTTAGTCTTCAAACAAACAAACTATA